GCCATCCTCTGGGACCTTAGGTAGCCATTTACAGGTAACAGTGGCTCTGCAGGAGGCCATAGCTCCCTATAGAAGGGGGTCCCAAGAGGCCTAGCAATGCCAGCTTTCTTCCTCAGCTGAGATACGAGTTGCCCAGAAGCCTTTGTGCAAGAACAGCCAGCCAACCAACTATATGCTGCAGATATGGCATGCATGCTGTACTGGAGTTGTTCACAATCCACATGTAACTCAAAAGCCACCGTTTAACCACCCTTGTCATAACCTCAACCTCTCTGAAACTGCATTGCCACTGAAACAATTGTTTTCTCCTGGTTTCAGGTGCCAAGAAAATCAGTTCACTCCACAAGTTTTATGACTTTTAGCAATTCTTTTCACTTCAGACAATCGGACCAGAATTGTACAGCTGCTATTCCTGCAGTTTGTCAGCATTTGCCTGAGTTTATACAAAGGATAACACAGAGAGAGCAATTCGTCTCTTTGCCAAAATAAAAAGCTGGCATTTCTCTACTGTGGAAGAAATGAAGTGTGACAAAATTCTGTGCAATTTGAATAGAGATGCAATTCACTGAGGAAATCCATAAGCAGAAAACAGTGTTCTCCTTGGATCAATTTCATTTACAGTAAACATTTGCATACTATTTTCAAGTATGTACAAACAGAAAAAGGCAGCTCTGCATCAAAAAATACAAACTTATTTAAGGATATCTGAGTCAGAAAGCTTTGGAGTCCTGATTTATTGATGATACTAACCCAGCGAGACTCATCTCTAATAATACAATTTCAGTAGACACATTAATTCAGTTACACAACTAAAATGTAGAACTTATTTCATTTCCTTGCCCTTATTGACATAACCTTTTTCTGTTCATGTGGAATTTCACACTGTAAAAAGCTCATCGTCAACAGATTGAAGACAATTAGGAATACTCCTTCCTTGCTTCTCTGTTGAATATTCTAAAAACAATAGTGTAGTCCCATACTACACTCTGTTCTATCAACATTAATTTTGAGCTGGGATGTGTATACAGCTCATTTTGATCTCAGCCATACTACCTTTTTTGTAATGTCAGAGTTGTTATCAAAGCTCCAGAATGAAAATATAGATTACTTCTAGGGACAACAGATCTTTCTTATTTGAGGAGCAAATTAAGGAAAATGACAGAAGAGAATTGTTTTAGTGTTAATAAAGTGTACCTTTTGCTCTGCTTAGCATGCAGCAGTGCAGAGTACAGTTTTCCAGACTACAACCCCTGAGGATGTTCAAAGAAAGCCTGGGGAAAGCAGAGGGGGGAAAAGTATTCCTTTGCTTAGCCACTCTTAACTACAATTCAGTTTAAGCCCAGCTGCTGGCAGTTCATGAAATAAACAGGAAAGGTTTCTTTGCCAGGATCTGAAATGGTAATGATTTTGCAAATAAGAAAACTGTCCTGTTGTAATACATAACTATCGAAATTCTGTGCTTTGGTTTTACAGGAGAAGGAAGAGGCAGAAAAAGTATCCTCTCCCTTCAAAACACTTGTGTAAGAAGTAATAGCAAAAGAGCTATTAGACTCCTGGGGTGCTTGGAAGGGAATGTTAGACCTTTACCTTTGATACATTCTTTTCCATATTCTTCCATTTTCTTCTTACATTAAATGTGACGTTTTGACCCAAGGAGTTGTTGTTGCAATGTTATTGCATGTTATTAAAGAAGAGAGAAGCCATTTCACAAAAGCAGAGAGGTAATTAATATGTATTAGCTACCTTCCTCAGAAGAGGGTGACAGGGCTTCACTAGTAAATTGTCTTAATATCCTGTATGAGAACTATTATAGGAAAATACAGAAGCATATGTTTATTACCATGCCCTGGTAATAATCATTGATCCTAGAAGTTTATTTTTAAACCTTTTGTTCAATTTAGGGGCATTATAGTCTTCTGTGCTGTGAGCTGCAATATTTAAAACCTCATTAAGCCTATGACCTTGCACTTAACCTGTTTGCTCACTGTTTCCTTCTCTGTGGTAGCAAAGTATTTATGTGCTGGAGGTCACTGTATTATTATTAAAATTCAGCCAGCAGTACACAACCCCACCACCCCGTGCACGAAAAAAGAGGTACAGATCCAAGATCAGGACAGAGAGGTTGACTGCATGTGAGTATGTCTTTCCTGATGCTGTTGTAGGCAGTCCTATGAATGGCCCGTTATGAGATTCACAGGAAACAGCCTAGAATCTGACCAGGCAGTAGAGCCACATACCTGGAAAAAACTACAGACCTGACCATAGAATATGTACACGTTTTGGGAGAGACTTATGGTTTAAGGCTCTTCAGAAACGTTGTGCAATGTTAGTAGACAATGCATATGCAATCTTTATTAAATATTGATGGTTTTAATTCTCCTCACATTTTGATAGCTTGCTCTTTTTCATTATGTTTTTATCTTGTTTACTATAGAAGACAAGTAAACATTTAAATGTTTAAATTATTTAAATGTTGTTGAAATTTATCTAAATACCATTTATGAGCTTTTAAGTGATTTCTTAAAAGGATTATATTACTCCCAAAGTCGGAGTCAAGGAAACATGGCTTCTGTCAGTCCATAAGCATTGCATGACTGGAGAACCATTTATGGTGTAAATAGCCCTCTGCCCTGGGTCTTTCACAAGGCTTTACTCAACTCTGCCAGAGACAACAGCACACAGAAACAGAAATTGCTGTAGTGAGAATGAAAGGAACCTGCCTCACAGAGTGGCCCATATACAAGTCCTGGGCAAGGTAATCAACCACCCTTCAAAAAAGCTTGAAATCTTGAGGTGTCTGCACTATGACAAAATCCACTGGATGCTCCCATCCACTTCTGTTTGAGAGAACAAAGTTGTGTAATAATGATCTGAATAGGAGCAATGCTTTATCTGAAGCATTATATGCAGTAAAAACAGTGTGGAGCAACGCCCTATGACACTATGCTCATATATTTCATTTTTGGAGATCACTTGTGGCTGACCGCTTAATGGCAAATCTTACTTCTAAGATGAAGCTGACAGAATTCCTATGTAATGATCTCCTGAAATCTCTTGGTAGTACTAAGCTCTGACTGTCTACTGACCCCTCTAGAAGCTCTCCCCAGTACACCAGGAAAGCAGGGAGTATCTGCTGAGATACACATGTTCATGTTCCAGAAGTACCTTCAGTATGTCAGATATCCTAAGCCTAAAATTAACCTGGTTTTAGACTTAGATATGGCAAACTTTACAATGGGTCACAAGTCAACTACTTTGTTTTTCACAATTTCAGGTAACTTTATTGTGCAAAAAATATCAGAACTGTTTTTAGCCAGTGAAATATTGCTCTCCCACTTTGATCTTCTGGTATCTATCTTGACAGAGTGTCACCCTAATACACAGATACTGCCTCATTTAGAACACACATAAGTGTGGAAAGCATCCACAACCCGAGGCACCCCACGTCGTCCTCAAATCCCAGCACTCCGATCCAGGCCATCAACGTAGAATCAAATTGCCTTCAAGTTGCAACTGTACTTCATATCCCAACAATGTTGTTCTATGTATACAACAATTCACCTAATTATCCACCCACACCTAATAACAGAAAGGGGTGGAAATAGAAGACTTCTTCATTTTTTTTCTAATGATTATAAGGACTCATTCTTAACATGTGTGTGAGATGATCAATTTTGTTAAATTTAAGACATTTAAACTGATAGTGTGAATCTGGGAAACGCACAACTTCCCTGAGCCATCATGATCTGTGTATCTTTTCCAGAAGAGCAAGAGGCTGAGGAGACAAAGCAGAAGATGATAAACAAACGATTAATCCAAGTTTAATAGTATTGTTGCCAGATGAAGAATCGTTTCCACCTGGTGAATTCTTGCTAAGTGCCATTACGACCAGTTAAAGTTTTCGTTGCCAGAAGGGGTTTTTGTGAGGGTGCATTTGTGCATTCAGGTGATAGTATTGTTATCAGGTTTTTTTTTTTAAATGGCAGAGCTAGTGTCTGCCAGACGGGAGTTGGCAGTGGCAGAAGTGGGCTAGGAAATCCGCAGTCACTGACTGCTGAGGAACTGATATGCAGTTGTGGCCATCCAGAGGCACCAGCATCATTTTAACACCTGACACATGAATTTCTAGACAGATCTGGGTTACTTGGCTATCTATACCACGGCATTCAACCATCAGCGAGCATCCAAGATGGGCCAGAAGCAGGAAGACAGGCTGCCTGCAGAGCAGGGAGGAGGAAAGGGACTGCAGTGGCTGCACGGTTTGCAGCACACGCTCCTTCATCTCCTGCTACGTGCAGAGCACAGACAGGCCCTGCTGTGAGGAATGTCACTCCTGGGACAGGAGCCGGGACAGTACCCGGCCGTGTCTGTGGAAGTGTGATGCCACGGGGAATTGCGTCTGGGATGTCCCGGCTGCCGGGGGCACTCAGCACACGGCGGCGTTCACTGCACAGCCTCTAGCAATTCGGACAAACAGGCAGCTCGAATTCAAGCTTGATGTGTGTTCATGAAGATTAATCAGCTTTAAAGGTGTGCTCCTAAGCCTAATGCAGCATGCACCAACGTTGTTGCATTTATGGTTTATTTCTGCCAAACAAAACATTTATGGTTTATTACTCTTTTCTCTAATAAAAGTCAGCAATTAAACACTTGACTCTGGCTGGCATCTTTTATACAGAAAAGGATTTATCATTGTAGTATGTGGTCTTGTAGAGGATAGCTTAAGGGCAGGCTTCGCGTAAAGTGCTGGAGGATTCTGAAGTCAACAAGACTTGCCTTTTTTTTTTTTTACTTTTTTTTTTTTTTTTTTTTTTTAATTCCCCCGGTGTCCCCAGGGCCGCCCCCCCTGCAGGGGGCTGCGCCCTCACTCAAGATGGCGCCTCCAGTGTCTCCGACGGGCTCTGACGTCAGAGCGGCGATGGTGAAGATGGCGGCTGGAACTTGCCCTTGTCCAACATGGCTCTTGCTGCCCAATTACTTCCGCCGGCAGCGGCGTCCGCTTGCCCTCAGTGGAGATGGCGGAGCGCAGCGCCGAGAGGGCGTGGTGTGCCGGTGGCTGCGGTGAGGGTCAGTGTGCGGGGCCGGGCTTGCGGCAGCGGCTGTGCGAGGGGCGCGGAAAGCCGAGCCGAGGGGAGGCGAGGCGAGGGGAGGGGAGGCAGCGCCTGTGGCCGGGCGGGGAAGAAGGGAGCTCCGACAGCGCGGCCGCTCCTGGGGAGCTGTGCACGTGTACGGCCGTGAAATGGCGGCCGGGGCCTGGCGCTGCCTGCGGCCCGGGCGGGCTGTGAGGCCGGGGGATGCCCCGCTTGCCCAGCGCACGCTGCAGGAGCCCCGCCGGTTGTGTCCCAGCGCCCTGGGCTCCCTGAGAGCCTTCGGTATCTCCGCAAGGCACAGTGTCTGTGCGCTCTAACAATTTACAGCGGTGCAAATGAATTCGTTTGTGAGACGCTTCTCAAAAGTTTTCGTCACAGGAGAAGATTAAATAATCTGAAAACTTCTCCTTTCCACTGCAACAGCACTTGCTAATTCGTTATTCAAATTAAAAAGGATTGCTTCTGTTTTATAAGATAGTTAAGTATTTGGCATAACCAGAAAGCTGTACGTCAAAGATGAAATTACTTTCCAGGTGTTAACTCTGCAGGTGTTGACCTGTGTGTGGTAAATTGCGTGCGTAATACACACAATTTTGTATATTTGTATACCTACAACCTGTATGTGTGCCTTAGGGCACCACACGAAGGCTGTATGGGACTACTTGTCAGCTGCTATTGGAATCAAGTTATAAAGTTATTTCTGCCAGCTGTCCTTGGACTGGAGATATTCAGAAATGCTGCATTGGCATCCAAATGTGTGTCAGTGCCATAAGATGGGAAAGTGTCATAAGTTGTCCTTATATATCTCCAAAGTTACTTTATGAATGATGATCTGACTGCCTTTTGTTGACAGATGCACCCCAATGACACACAGCAACGAGTTCTCATGTACAGTTTGAATAATCAGCTCCATACTTGGCTTCTCTTCAGAACTCACGGTTTTTGCCAATACTTCTAATCTAACACTTCACCAGAGGCACTTCTGAGAGTTTCTCAGTGTTTTTTTACCACATAAACAGGGGTCATAGGGCACTGCTGCTATGTCCTGGGTACAAGTTGCAATCAGCCAATGCAATGAGGATATATTTGATGAAGATGCAGATGAGATGTATCTACTACAGAAGGAATGGAACAGCACTATGAAAAAGAGATTGAAGGTATTTCTATTAAAATTATTTTATATTCTTTTTAGCCATTTTAGATTTACTGACACATAACTTGATACACATGTAAATGATTTAAAGGGAAAAATAAAAGTAGCTGCTTAAAAGTTACTGTGGCATACTTTCTTCTGTATATCATGAAAATATGGCAGAAATTTGCATAAACACTTCTTAGTAGTCACCAGAGCAAAGTACCGTTTTACCTAAAGACATTGACTCCCTCTGCACAACTATGTGCATTTATAAAAGGTAATGCTGAATTATGATGCAAGCTACTTGCTTTGTACTTGTAGGTATACCCCTAGTAAATGTAGGGCAGCAGAGCTGGGCAATACTAATAAAGAAATGTGAGGTGTTTGGGGTTTTGAGTAAAGTTACTCATCAGTCAGATTGTAAGATGTGTGACTCCATGTGCAACTACAGTTAGGCGTTGTGGTCTGTGTAGTGTTTGGCTGAATTATTTTCCTAGTGAAAGCTCCTAAACGGATTAGTTTGACAGATACTGTGTCATTCAGAGCAGGGCCAGTAGGGCTCCTCTGCTCCCACTCGAGCAGCGTTTGGCTGAAGAACATGGATGGAAACTGCTGTGTAGGCAGTTGATGAGGAATGGTAGAGCAGACCTGGTACAGTTTCTTTTATCTGAGTTCCATGAAAAGCCTGTTTTTCTTAAGGAACTGTTTACTATTCTTTCAGAAATCCCTTTGATATTTTTGAATAGATACGGCAAAAATCATGAAGTGTTATTGAAGTTAGAATTGTATGTTGGGCAAAATAATTCTTTGTATTCCAGCCTACTTTTCTAGCAAGACCACCATGAGCAAATAGGAGTTTCACTTCACAGCTTGCAATTTTAGTGTGAAAAAAATTAAGAATTATTCTATGTAATGGTGTAATGTGGTTATAATATAAAGAAAGTAATTTGCATTACAATCATTACCTGTTTACTTAAAGAAAGCAGTCCCAATTTTAAGTGTATTTATATGTGACTCAGTCAATCTCTTTTGCTGGTATAACACTTAAATGGAGTGAGGTCCAGCAAATAAAGAAGCAATGCTCAGCAGTTAGTTTTGTGAAAATAAATGGATTCCATGTGGATGGATTACAGATAGGAGAGTACCTCTGCTAAAGGGGAAGCTTAGCAGCCTTGCATATCTTTTTAGATTGAAAAAAAGAAGTCTCTGTGGTATTTCTATTTCTCACAAAGGAGTTGGCAATCACAAAAAGCAAACATGCTTTCTTTTTTTGATTTTTCTAAAAGAAGTTCCCCATTTTCTAACTTTCTGGGGATCCTTCTGGGAAAAGTAAAAAAATGCATCTTACAGGTCAGTAAATCATAATACACTGCAACAAGCATGTTTTGCTTCGGCAGTGGGGATGTAGCTGTGAAGGGTGTTCACATATAGAAGCTGCAACTTAGGAGTTTGAATACTTGATACTTGTTGAAACCTTTTTTTTATTATTGTTGTGTATTTGTCAGAGGTCAACTTTGTCATGTTGTGAACAACCTGTTTCACTGCTCTTGTTACAGGAAGGCTATAGGGATGGAATTGAGGCCGGGAAAGAGCTTGCACTTCAGACAGGCTTTAATCAAGGTTACAAACGAGGTGCTGAGGTGATGATTACATGTGGCCAGTTCAAAGGAACCCTGAAGTAAGTTGCAAACTCCTTAAGGTCAAGTGTACATGGAGGGTGTGTAACAGGGGAACACACATGCAGGTTTTTGTTTGTTTTAATTAAAAAATCAATTCAAACAAACAACAACAAAAAAAACCCCAAACAAAAACCCTGTCACGTTTTAAAACTGTCCAAGGTGAATTCCCAGATCTTGAAAACAGGGAATGCTTACCTGGGTGTAGAAGTATCATTTTTAAAAGATCTCTTTCAATTGCTCTTCCAAAATTGTCTGAATCTACATATTTAAGCTTAATATTTAGTTCTACTGCCTGAATTTTCCCTAAAATGTGATTTATACATAAATGTATTTATGATTCATAGATACCTTGTCACCTTGCTATCTACCTCCATCAAGTGGAGATCTACGTAGATGAATATAATCACTTTTATTGTTGTTCACTTTTCAGTGCTCTCCTATCCTGGTGTCATTTTAATGGACATGAATCTGCTTTAAGTATGATAAATAATCTTCTTGATGTGATTGGAAAGCATGAAGATGATGTGCTTAAGTATCTGAATTCTACTGAAGAGCAGCAACAGCCACATCTTGGACACATTTTAGACTCAGTTCAGGACATGGACCTTAATCACACAGCTGGGACAGAGTACAATGAAGTTACAGATGGAAAATACGAAGGCTGTGGCAGCTTCAGTGAAAACATTTGTAGGAATAATGGTGAGGTTGGTTCCTTGCAGTCTGAGTGCAGCAAGGCAAACCTCTGCACAGATCCTGAAAAGTCAACCCTTGCTTGGGTTAAAAAGCAGACTGTTTGGTTAGTAGAGCAACTGGGATTATCACTGGATGTACTTCATCATGTCCAGCAACTGGAACATTAGTTTTTCTGTCTCATGGTACTTAAAACTATCACAGCTGGTTTCGATTCTTAGTTTGTGATCCATGTACAGGCTGATGTATCACTTTTGTTTTAGGAAAATATGATTTTGATGCTTTACAGTAGAAGTAATTTTTGTAAAATCTTCATCATGACTTTGGCTCCTGGCAAAACCCTTCGCTTTCAATCTTAAAGGTAACATTCACAGAAAGGGGCAATGACTTTAAAGCTTTACAAAGAGGTTAGTAAACATGTTTCTGTTTTGTGTCAGGGCCTCCCATCTCATACTCATTTTTTTCTTGCCATCGGTTTGGAAATGAAATGGGTCCATTAAATACCCCTTCTAAATTGGTCCCCTCCAGTAAGAGTAGAATAAATGCTCAGTGCTATGGAAAGGGTCAGTGTTTTTGCAGAATAAGATGCTGTTGATATGCTGTGTGCAAAATAGAACATGATATGCTGCTTTTTCCTGGAATGCTGTGACTCTCTAGTCACCTTTTGTCAAATTCATTGTATTTACCCATGATGCAATGCACTTTCACTGATAAAAACTATTTTTCCACCTTATATAGCTTATACATTTGTGACTTTTGCTGAAAATACACCATTTTCTTCAGATTCAGAATTGCTGACAATCCCATTGTTTTACTCTTAGACATCTACTCTTATGTCAGACCACACTAAGCATGCTTCCAGTCTAATGAACATCCTTGTGTCATTTTTGTATTTATTTTGTCAGTTCATCTAGCCTGAACTCTTTCCCACATTCCAATAATGTTTTTTTCAAACTCTTCAAGGAAGCCAAGCTTATTCACTACCTCTTAGAAACACATCAGCCACACATGCCTATTTTTGATTATTTCGTATTTTGGTAACTATTCTATATTTGATTTACTTGCTCATTTGCTTCCCTTAACTGTAGCTGTAAATTGCTCAGGAAGTTTTTTATTTGTGAATGCCTCTGTTTTACATTAATTAAACTGATTTATAGTAAGTTACCAGTTTACTTGTTGGGAGTTTCTTGAATTGCCTTCATATTGGAGACAAAGAAAGTCTAGACATAGGCAAAGTAAGATTTTGAAGAGTAAACTATAATTTAATAAAAAAGTCACAAAACCATTTCATACCTTGGGGCAAGAAGAATTCTAAGGCAAAAATTCCTTGTTTTTCAGATCCTTGAGTTTACAAAATTCTTACTAAAGACTGTTATCCTGTCAGAGTTGACAGACTGTAAGTTTGGTTTCCTTTCAGTACCACTCTGCTTTACGGGTAAGCAGAACTGCAGGTCAGAGTCTTGCATTTAATGGATTTATGAAATAGTGGACAAAGAGGGGCGTCTGCATTAATTGTGTGTATACAAAAATCGTTCAAGTAACTTTTTCTCAATTTATTTAGCATAATTTTAACATGGATAAACATTACTTTTCTTCAAATGCCTGTGTGTCATAGACTGTATCATGTATGTTAGACAGATTTTTTCCATATTCTGGTAGAAAAGGATGCAGTGTTGGAAGTTATATAACTTTCCTAACTAATTTTTAATTAGTTGTTTTAATTAATTGTAAGCAGTACCCACTTATAGCCAACACCAGTAGAGTTTCTTCACATACCTACTTTGATCATTAAAACACCGAAACCTTAAGTTTGTTAAAATTAAACCTGACAATCTTGAATAAACAAAGCCAAAGGAATTTGAAGATGGGGCATCTGGGATGTTACATTTATGGCTATTCAGAGACATTAGAGTAACCAGAAGATATAGAAGAAATTAAGGCCTGAGAAGTTGGAGACTCTCTGTCTGAGAAAAAGAAAAGAAAGAAAAAAGGATGCGGGATTAGCATGAAGAGAAAGAAATCAATAATTAAGAAGGGATAGAATACTAATTAATTAAGAGAATTATATAAATGAATGTCCTTGTTCACTAAAAATGCATAAATAAGTGAAAAAGTTTTGTATTGGGGTCAGCATTGAGGCTGGAACTTTGTCAGTCATCTCTTCACCAAGAATAAAGTAATGCCTTACCTTCTAACAATAAAAAAGACAGTGTTAGAGGGAATCTTATTTACCATGGCGATTTTTGAGGCTTTCATTAGCAAGACAAAGGTGAATAGAATAGTGTTAGATTTTACAGATTTGGATGTTTAAAAATGCAGATTCAAGGGAATCACTTTTCCATATTTAAAAGTTTGCAAAGAGGAGATACCATTCATAAATACACTAAGTAGACTTTATTTTTTCTTATAAAACAATCTGGGTTTTTTGTCTATCACATCAGCTTCTTTACTAGCTATGGAATTACTTTCCTCCACAAAGTTTTGGTGCATAGTGAGGAGTTACTTTTTTTCCATGTTATCACCCAGAGTTTCCAGTTTGGCTGTAGAGGGATTTTCTTCTGTGCTGTCTGTATTATTTGGCTTCTCTGTCACTACTGAGTCTTGCTCACCAGCCCCAGAAAGGCTTTCTTTGGGACCCTTAGAATCTGTAGTGTGCTCCGATTGTGGTTCAGGTTGTTGTTCCATGTCCATGTCTTGTGTTTCACTGTCAGCTTTCACCTTGGCAGCGTTCCTGAAAACAGCTCTCATGACAACTGGGACTGACATGCAACTGCAGAAGGAAATGACACATTAGTCACTACTACAGGCTTCATCAATCCTTTAAAGTACTTCTGTTTGTAAAACTGTGGCTGATACCGGAATGAAAACCAGCATTACCTCCTTCTGGTTTTGTCTTGTACAACCTGGTGTTACATTGTAACCATTATATAAACTACATGTGCTGTACCAGAAATATATGTTGACACACTGAAATCTAGTGCTGAATCTTTGAAGTTAAGTGTGCAAAGAACCTTTGACTGAAAAGCTGGTAAAAAAAAAATTCCTAAGGGTGCTTTTAGTGAAAACCAAAACTAAGAATATTGAAATATATTCATTCTTGTTGAGATTTATAATTGTAACCTTCATGTTTTGTATACATAGGTAGGTACATAACGTGCTTTTTCTAAAACTATCTATACTGGAGGAGTTTTTTCTCCACTCTTAACCTGGTTCCAAAAATAGTACCTAGTTTAAAATCAGGTTCAAAATCCAGCCTGCAGTTTGTTGTCATCAAACACATAATGGTTGTATACTAGCTTAAACCAAATCAATTAGTGCTCTTAGACCATGTTCTGAATCAGTTTGTCTAGCCTATGTCCATTTATCGCAACTCGCCCTCTTGGAATTTGTTCAGAAAACATGCCAGAGACAGTGTTGTAGATGTGCCATATACAGCTCACTTTCTGAAGAGAAGCACTGATTGCTATTAGGTAGATGTGTAAAAAGACCTTTCCATGCTATTCTAAGTTATGGCAGACATGAGACTGTCATCAGCTAGAGCCTTCAGAAAAGCATCTTTATAAAAGGTAAAACTCTTCACTCAATAGTCTTTCCCTGTTTCCACATGCTTTCTACTAGAAACACTTCATCACTGTTTATGTTTAAAATTTTTGAAAGAGATACTTAAGACACTGAAGTAACTTATTCCCACTATTGTATTACAGCATTTTACTAGAGTGAAGTTTTCCGCTTTCTGAGTTTATGGCATTATGAATGCACATGATATTTCCATTACATTTCCATTAGATTTCCATCTGATGTTCATTCCAACTGTTATAAAACAAAAGTACTTACCGTTTGACAGCTCTTGCTATGAAGTCATCACTAGAATTTAGAGTTGGATCTTGAGGATTTAAATGAAGGTGACATTGGACTTCTCTAGATGTTATAACATCAATTACCACTAAGAAGGAACAGAACAGAAAAATGTTTTGATATACTTAAAAACATTGAAAACCGTCCTTTCATTTTGATGCTTGAAGAGATATAAGACTGAAGTCAGTGGAAAGAGGTTTGCAGCAATATATTTGCATTACTTGCTTTTCCTTAATATAGTTAAATCAGAAAGAGTGGAAGTTAAAATTTATTAATTAAATACAGGCCAAGACAAAAGAGGACTTGAACATTTACTGTCTGTATTATTCTGAGTACAAAACACCTAGTAAGCAGTTTATACAGAAGTGTATACACTTCGTGGTTTTTATGGGCTGCATGCTGTTGAGTGGCCCTTACAGTGTTTGTAACTGAGAAGCATAGTGCAAGAGCCTAGAAAGAACCAAGTCCTTTGTCAGATCAAGTAAAGAGGACAGTAGCAATTATTCCACACATACCACAGGCTAAATTCTCTTTCACGGGATGAAGGAAAAAGACAGAAAAGCTGGTGTTCTTGTGTGGTACCACTTCAAAGTAAAGCAGTTCTGAATCATCTAGAAATAAAATTACTGTTTAGTGATATCCACCATTGAAGTTGGACTCTTTTTGGCTGAATTACATGCCAGAATTTTAAAAATATTGATATAATAGTCCAATTATTTGTTACTTTGATAATTTAGTTTATGTGCATAGAGTGAGTATAGAATTTAAAAAAAAATACAGTGTTAAGAATTTTTTATCATTTACAGCACTCCACAAGTAATGACAGTTTTGGAAAGGGAGCAGTAAAATCTGTCAACACCCAACTTAGAAAGCAGTTTGTCTCTAATACTGTGCCATCACTTCCATCCACACAACTTACCTTCATTTATATGCTTCTCAGAGACACAGCTGCTAATAAGAGTGTTATATGCCATTTGATGTCGAAGAATCTCTATTACACCAGGCACACATTTGGGATGGCTAAATGGGACTTTACTGACCAAGGCTCCTGCTAAAACTGATTTTTTTGAGCCCTTGTTTATGAAGTAACAGTGCTTTGGGCAATCTGGAAGAGACTAAGCAACAAATGATATTTCAGGGATTGAAAACAGGAAAATAAAGTTTGATGTTATTAGGCAACTGTCATCAGGCAATCTACAACAAAAATGTTTTTGAAAGATATATTTCTGGCATGTCCATCATACCTCCAACTTTCTAGGGGAATCCTTAGAGGAAGCTAAATGAGATCCACTCTCCCTCCCAAATACATCCAAATTAGGTAGATACACCCAGAGCCGAGTGGTCAGGAGTTCAAATATCACCAATTCTTCCAAGTACTTTTCAGAGCCCTATAGACTATGAAAATGTTAGTGACCAAGATAATAATATCATAGTAATGCTGCTTGATAGTTGCACAAACAGGATAGCAGTTTTGCTGGAAATCTCTTGTGGACATCTGATGTTGTTCCAGCCTCCATCCCTACTACTTTTTCTTTGGAGAGGTATGTTTGGCTGGAATATCTCCTGATGATTCAATTGAATATGAGAAGGAAATAGTAAGAAAAATTTACCACCTGTCCATGTGAACAGTGATTCTATGATAAAATTAGTAGAGCACTATTGTGTTATCTACTTCAGGAGGCCAAATGGGAACTGTCCCCTTAAGAACAGGGCAGGGCAGTTAATTAGGAGGGTCTACATTAACAAAAGCTGAAGAGCTTTTCCTTGTGTGTTCATGGATCAAAATTATTTCCCTAACACTCATTTCAAGGTTGGAATGCAATTTAGTAATTCTAGAAATAAAATATTTAAACTCAGAAGTAAAATCTTCCCCCACCAAGTACAAATCTTTTAGGGAATTATTGAAAAGTTACAGAGCCTTTCATGTGCATCTAATAGAACTGAAAGATTAATTCCATCTTACAGAAGAGAAGAGCTTTGCCAAACATTATTTTAGCATGGTGTAAATTTACTACTACCTTCTGTACCACCACCCAAGGTCCAAGAACTAAGCAGGCAATGAGCTCTATGAGCACTGCTAGTAGAACAGAAAAAATGTGTCTCATTTTACTGCCATGAATTGCAAAATTCATGTTTCCTAGCAAAAAAAAAGTAGATCTTTGAAGCTTGTCTTGTAGTTGTCCTCTGCATAAGTCTGGCAAAAGGCATCTTAGCCACAACTATCTATTCTAAAAGTTTACATCTAATGCAGCCTAAGAAACTGTATTTCAATAATGCAAAAGGAAAACCTTCTTCAGTTAAACAACCTTGTCTCTAGATAACATTTAGCATCAATGTTGTAACACTATATTATTCTTCCTGCCAGTCCCTTTGAAAGGAATCAATAGTCTCAGTGTTATCTAATTAAGAAATCCCTTTTGTTAAAACAGTGTGACATGTAGCATGATAAAGATCTTCAAAAATACCTTACTGGGACTTGCTCCTCACACTAGTCATTAAGTTTCCTTCTTTTTTAGGCTTTAATGATAAAGTTCTGAGCAATTTTTAGAAGAATAAATGTTTGGTTTAAACACAGACAAATTAGTATGACTTAAGCAGCCAAGCACACAGTGTTTCATTAATGAGGATGAGAAGCTCACTTACGTGAAAGGACCTAATACTGCTTTGTAAATTGTACTATTTCCTAAAGAGCATTTTTGTTGGAATTCTGGGAAACCTACATTGCTGGTTTATGGGGAAATGGTAATTCAGTGTGTGTCAAATGTACACTGTACTTACCACAAAGAAACAGGATTTATTTGTAGACAAGTCTTCAGTGCATTTTTCTTTAAGAGTAGACTGAACAATTAGCTCATACAGTGGAGCTTGTTTCAAGCCAGAAATCTGAATTCCTGAAACCAGGTCATTATTTTTATTAGCAATTAGTTTATGACAGTAGATTATGAAAGCTACTATTAAAAACAAACCAAATGTTTTGAAAAGACAAAAATATTGATTTTCTTTCTTACTCCCCTTTTTTGCTATTGGGAATTTGAGGTAGAGTGTTTAACTTTGCCTGCAATTGTCATACGTTTCTTAGAACTTTTGTGTTTTGCACTGCTTGTTAAA